CTCATTCATGTATTGGCTGGTTTGTTTCTGTTTTAATTTTTATGTGTCTTTTCTCACTAGAATAGAAGTCCCACGAGAGGACGTACTATGTTGTCATGTCCACTTTATGCTCTGTCTAGAACAATGTTTAGCACATAGTATGTGTTCAATGAATACCTGAACAAATATTACTTGAATAAATACTTGTTGAATGAAGAAATGAATGAATGAGTGAATTCTCCTTTCTAACATTGACAGGAAGCTCAGGTTCAAAATAAGCACATCCAAGCCCGTCCACAGCCCACACGGAGGGACATTTGCTTCATTCCCCTTCTGTGGCTCTGATTTCCAACTTAAATGCCATGAACATTACAATCCACATACTGTTCCATGTGAACAATGTAAAATCCTTTGGGAGAAGATGTAGGCCATACATAAAGAAACAAAACCCTCCGTTCATCTCCTGTCTCTTGCTGGGTTTGAAAAACAAATACATAATTTGTCTCCATATAACACCCCCCCTCCTCAGGGACTGCTTTGATTCATTATCATCCTGAGTTACAATCTGTCTCCTGTTTGTCCCAGGTCTGTCCTCTGTGGAGACACAAAGCAAGCCTGTCCTCTCTGCCAAGGAGAGCCCTCTGGAGATTTGAAGACCAGGACCATGTTGTCCCACCTCCCCCCATGACAGCACTTCTCAAGGACAAACCTGCCCACAACTCCCTACATCCTGGTGGCCTTTCTCCAAGGGCCTACAGTTGGTTGGCATTGTCCGGGTAGGAATAGGATGTTTCCTGTCTGGTCTCTTCCGTCCACAACAGAATGAACCCCCCACAGCTGGTATTTCTGTTTGTACCCACCTAGTGGCAATCCCGGGCCACCCAGCTGCATGGCAGGCATGCCGGGCATGGTAGCACTGACCCACTCCTTGGAGCTCAGCATCCATGACATGTTTAGTGTGCCCTGGGTTGTTTACATCACAGTGTAATTTAAAATACTTACTATTTTTTCTGATAATAAAAACAGAACTCATTGCAGAAAACAAAAAAAGGCATAAAGAAGTCAACAAGAAAACTTCTATAATCCTACAATCCGGACACTAGTAACATTATGAAGTATTTCTCTGTAGTCTTTTTTCTCTGCCTGTGCATACACACAGAGACACATACACATACTTTAGTTTACCCTAGTTATGATAATATTGAACATAGAGTCCTACTTCCTCTTTGTTTTTCTTTAACTTAACATCTTGTGAGCATTCCCCCAGGCAATTAAAAATTCTTGGGGTGTGTGTGGTTTTCACGGTTGTGTAATATTCCACCTTGCAGATGAACCATCATCTCTTAGGCACTGCAGGGCAAGCATGGACTCCCCAGGACAAGCCAGGCAGAGGGCTCACTCACCTCCTCATTCTCTATCTTGAGCGTGGCCAGTCTGGACTGCAGCTGGTGGTACCGCATGAGCAATTCCGTCTGGACGGGCTGCTGAGCACTGACCTGGCACACCTGCAGGAATAACAGCCACCATCTGGTGTTGCTCAGTGCCTTCCTCACCTGTGTGGAGCTAGGGTGGTGGTGGGGGGTGGGGGGTTAGGAGTGGGAGCTTAAATGACCTGCTGAGGAAACAGGCTCAGAAAGGTTAAGTGACCTGCCCAAGGTCATACAGCTCATACATAGCAATGGCCATGCCTGATGGGAGCCAGGGTCTTCCTACACCGAAGTCCACCCTCTTGCCATTACCAGGTGTGGCCCCTCAGTTGTGATCTTCCACGTCTGTGCAGCACTTGCGGGTTTACAAAGAGCTTTAACATAATCTCATTAAGCAAAACTAATTCATTAATTTCAGGGCAGGGAGTTGTGGCAAGAAAGCAATCAATCACATAAGAGAAGCCAATGGAAAGGACAACAACTGAAAAATAACAGTGGGGTGTTCCCGTCACCCCCAGGAAGATGCTGCAGAAAGGCACCTGCGAGGTCTGCCCTCCCACAGCTCTTCT